TATTATTACTTATGTGCATGAATTTATAACTATACGAACTTTAAGATGTAATAATTTCATTTGTTATTACATTACAGTAATTTTTGACATAATTGATATAATAATAACAAAAGATAATGAAAAAAATTAATTATTACCCGCTTATTATTGTAATACAATAATAATTAATAATCAACAGCCAAAGACAGGCAATTCGCAAGGTATTAGAAACTGTATTCTTCAATTTTCTAACATAAAACTTAACGAAATATTGTGATATCAGTATTGATTTACCTCTATACACGTTTGACGTTTGACATAGATTTAACCATTTCCATGAGAGGTTAAGTTCACCATAAAGATTGAAAATGAGCGATGTATCAATTTCTTGGATGTGTCTCTGAAGACTATCAATAATAAAATTTTCATGGATTGGTATCACAAGGACACATACTCGAGGAAATATTTATCATTTTATTCACCATCATCCCATGTGCCATGAGATGAAACAATATACAGTCTTGTAGATAGAACTGTCTTATTGTCACATTCAATATTTCAACAAAAAAATTTAGAATTTGTGATATACACGTTAATTAGTAATGGTTATCTGTTGAATCTAATTTTTAAGAAGATTAATAGTAGAGTAAAAACAATAATTACAACCAGATTTAACAAGCAAGATTCGGAAACTCATAATAACTCAGATAGTGATAAGAAGATTGAAGCGTTTCCTTACATAATGCGTGCGTCAGAAATAGTAGCATCAGCGCTCGAGAAGAATAAATTTTTAATTGGTTGTCGATGTCTAAATAGACATAATAATTTTATTAAAAGACATAAAGACATTAACGATAATGAGTTGAATAATAACATTGAATATAAAATCTTGTGTAAAAATTAAAAATTATAACGCTTACAAGCAGACAAAAAGACAGATGAGGATACGTATTAATGAGAATTAAAGAAATATATTAACTCGGAGATATCGAAATAATTCATTATTACGAATATGATATATGAAATTTGATTAAATTGGGAATTCGACTGGAATATAATGTATTGATTCTTGACTACGAAACTAATTATTATAAAAGATTAATGTCGGAAATGATACACATCAAAGCGCAGACAAATGGTGTTAACTCGAAAGAAGATGCATTGTTGCTTGATGGCGTATATTTCAATTTATTAGATAGAATATCAAATAACGACTTTAAAAGATAAATGGTTTGCTTGGCATTGTTAGAGTCCTAGAGTTTATGATTGTTAGAGATCATAGAAACTGACACTAAAAAAGATTGTCACTAGTTTTTAGTTTATCGGTTGCACAACCTGATCAATGCTCAAGTTGCTTTTTGGAATCCCTCCCTTTTTGGTCTGATATATATACTTTTCTTTTATAAAAGGCTGTGTGTGCAACCACGATCTCAGTTTTAAGTAGAATATACAAGCTCTTAAGATTAAACCTGGTGTGCTTTTTTTATATATATTGCCCTTCATTCCTGCCACCTTTTAATTACAATGATTAACTATAACATCAACGCGTTGACCGTATTATTATTATTACAATTTCTTTATCAGTTTGACCTATAAGCATCGCAATTTCGATTATTACGTCTCATTTCTCTGCTAGACATCGACTTGCGTATATCATGGTATCGGTTACACTGGATATTAGACTTTTATACGTATTGAATCTTTTATGAGAATTCAATAATTGTGTGGGTGAGAAGGTTTGAAAATGTGAACGACTCTCACTCTAGCACGAGTTTGAGATAGAATACACACTTTATTTATGAAATTTTAACTCGAAATTACAATGGCTTTAAGATCGGAAGAGCACACGTCTGAACTCCAGTCACTTAG